TATATATATAGTGATCGTCGAGACTAGTGCAGTCATAGTCATAATCCAGATGACGTTTTGCCCAATTTACATGAAGGTACGTCCGTTTAAACCAATTTTGGTGCACAAACCTACTCAAAGCCTTCCTGTCTTATGAGGTCTTCTCCACCCACTAACTTGTGAGGGCATTCTTGCGGGTGCTGTATTTGCCCAAACGGTACCCTGATTATATGGGCTTGTCCGTTACGGACTAAGCACAATCTCCCGATCCTGTCAACCCAAGCCATCATCGTGCTTTTATCAACCGCATCGGTCACCGTCACACAGCCCGTTTGACAGTTTAATCACACGTTCTTGTGGGCAACGTGGGTCTCGTGCTGAGTCATCGGGTTATAGCAGAGGATCATTCATTCATTTTTCATACTTCCTTCCTTTTGTTGATCAGGCAATGATACAAATTTCAGCAAAAGAGGAAGCATACAATCAAAAGGCCCCCATAGAACACAGAGAATGGGGAAAGTTAGACAGTGGTGGCAGTGCGATTCAAGAACACGTCCTCCGGCGTGATAGTTCGGTGACGCTACTACTGGGTCACCATCGACTCTAGTATCACATGATATTAGAGGTAATTTCGTTCACCAGTCTGTAAGGGCGTTCATGCACGTGTGCATATACGCTAGCCGCAACATTGGATTACAAAATGGACTATCGTGACTGTTCACGGGGTATCTCACATCTGTCTGTGGTCTGTATTCAGAGTATAGAGCATGCACACGCGTGCAGATCGGAGGGAGACTGTGTGACCACCCGAAATCTGCTAGTGAATATCTGCGATCTCAGACTATGGGTTGTATTTGCATTGGAGAAACGGAGATCTGCACTTGAGCATTTTCAAAACATGATTATTCAGGGATTCCTGTCCTAATCTATTGTTGGAGTGGAATATAACTGTGCAGCTCTAACTGTTTCGACCTTGATTCTTATCAGCCGTGCATAATCGACTTGGATTCAAATCCGGGATCACCGGGTAAAACCGCAATTTGCGCTCGTACTTCCGTAACAAACAGCTGAAAAGACTGGTGCGTAGGCGCAACGTTGCGTCAGCGGGTTATGCATGCGCACTTGGAGCAGCACTCTTCGCTAATCCTGCCCCGGCATGCCATCTCTATCGTGTAGAACCTAGATAAGAATGGACATGATCTATCACTCAGCTTCACGTCTGAAGCTCTGTAATGGCTTGCACACACCACCACCGTGGTGACCGATGCAAGAAATGAAACGAGCAGCTCAAACAAAAACGAACCCCACTTTTCAATTTCATAAATTTTTATATCCACGAAGAATCTTGAGAATGGGTCTTAAACGACATTATTTGGTCTTCTTCAAAAATGCACCGCCAATCATTACTTACTCAAGCTCTATCGGGATGGTAACAGGATCGAACCGAAAGCTCTTTGTATTTGCAAGTCAAATTCATTCAGATTCCAATGGTATGACTGCTCATTCCGAGAGATCGCTTACCTTGTCCTCCATTGAGGTCACTCATCTCCTAACAACTCAATCTCTAAAGCTACGTCCGCCTGTTCACGATGATTTACTGATGTCACCGTTCACAACGTGCATGCCCGTTCCCGATGACGTGCATCGCTAATAATCCAAACTCTGCCTAAGCGTACTACCTCCGGAATCTGTTTCTCCTTATAAAAACCGGCACTCTGTGTGTCTAAAGTATGAATTTAAAAGCCATATAAGGCCACCGAACTAGACGATTGTAAATTTTTTTTCACGGAATAAGTCAAATAATATCACTATCTATGACACCTAGTTGCATTGCCTGAAATCCTTGGCGTCACCATGACCGTCGTACAACAAAACACAACAAAGTGTACGCTGTCCGTCGCTGGCAAGCTCACATTACAGACAATAAGTGGGAATGTATCAGGTCGACTGAGGTTTGGTCTGTTTTGAAGGAGGAAGAGTGTAGTGAGCCCAGATTACATGATCTAATTGTGCATATGCTCTTTTTCAAGAGGTAAGAAGGTAAGGATAAGAAGTGACAACAACAACGCCACTGCTGTTGGTTTGTTGCCATATTCTTGACCGGCTCCAACCCTAATTGCAGAGTCGTTCCGCTTCCTATCTGTATATCAGTAATCACCCACTCCACGTAATCGTTGTCTGCATCTCTAACCTGCCTGCTGGTCTGTGGGTTAGTTCTCCAACCTGGAGTAGCAACTGCGAATAATGCTGAGTTGGCCAGACGACAACTAGGCATGCGCAATTATTGTCCGTTAATCTGATGTGATTACGAATCCTTCCCAAATACTCGTCGGCTTACCTCACCACTGTTCACCTGCTCACTCTATCCAACCTGCGTAAACGTTGACAGTGAAATTGATCTTAATTATGAATGTCTTCTCCTGTCTCACAACCGTAAACGGATCTGACTGTACAGTGGTGTGGTGTACGCGAACTTTCGGTTCCAAGCAAACGTCGGTTCGTGACCAAAATTGTTTTACTTCATGTCTTAATAATGCAGATGGACTCCTCGCTCAGTATTATATCAGTATTTGTCACGCCCCCCCCCCCGAGTTAAGGAAGCAATTTTGTAATGGCTAATTCGTGACTGTCAAACATCGGAACCGGGGTAGACAACTTGCTAGTCGTTCACATGCCCTGCGTGCACCATCTCCATACATTTGAACAGACAAGCGACTTGGTCAGTGTACTGTAATTCTCACAGGTTTCTTCCATTCAACGCCAACAATTTGAACGCCAGTTTCTATATTTTCCTCTATTTCAACTTATAATGAAAGTAAACGAAAATGGTCGTTATTGAACGCCCCAAAAAGCAGAGCATGTATTAATTTCACCGTCCAATTCAAATCGCGTCGTCTGTCCATTTGGCAATGGCTTAGTGTCACTGGTGGCCAACAAGCAATTCAGCAGTCGAAGAAAACTGACCTCGTTTTCCAATGAATTTCGTTTTACCCGTCAAAAGAAGTAAATATTCATCCGGCCTAACGAGTTGAATGGGCAGTAAATACTGAGCGCCCTGTTGATCTCCTGCACACCCCAATCTGGATATCGGAAAATTTCTTGCACTAATAAAGCATGTTTTCGACAACTGTCACTCTCAAAACCCATTTTGGGAAGTCATTTTTCACGGGTGAACGTTCGTGTATCTTGTCGCAAGCGGTTGATAGTAGAAAACAGTTAGACCTCACCAAGTATTATTTCATATTTATGCAACCTCTGCATGGATTTATTCCACAGCAGCTTGATTCAATTACTGCCCAATAGTTAGGATTTTATTTTAATCGAAGACTTTTCCCTATATTAGAAACAGGGATAAGTTAACTGCGTTGACAGTGGTCATCAGTGGTTAGGGTGCGGCATGTATTAGAGGGAACCGGCAAATTCTGTTGCACAGTCAACAAAAGCGACTGCCTCCAGTGCCCCAAAGTGAAGGAGGGCAAATAGAACATGGTCAAGATAAAAGTACAGTAACTGTGTCAAGTCTGACTTGTTTCGGTAAATAATTTCTAGTCATGTTTTTTTACTGTGGGTTTACCATTTTACAACTGATGCACCATCGATTATCGTCAAAATCGAGAAATCGTACATTTTAATGATATGTGAATAATGAAAGCAGAAACATAAGTGGATGTTATATCAAATATGTTACGTCTGTTGTGGGGAGGAAGAAATGTGATGAAGGTTAAGGTGCTGCACGAGTTTGGTTAATACCTGTGCATGTAAGTAGCTTCTCATGATCAGTTAGATCTAAAGCTCACCTTTTCTCTCTCTGTTTTCTCAACGTCTCACTTCAAGGTTACTTGGTCGGGATGATCCTCGCTTTTGTGGCTTCCATGCTATCCTACTCTGGTCAGCCAGCATTGCTCTATTTGTGTCCGTGCACTCTTGGATTTACCGTCGTAACGGCTTGTTGTTGTGGTGGTCGAGAGGAATTGTACAAACTCTGGAACGGTCAATTCCCGATCGCATTGAGTCCGCCTACATACACACCCGCTCCGGACGATGAGGAAGATCCGAATAAAACAACCGGAGTCTTCACACTCGGTGCAAACCATAACAGGGACACGGTTGTTCTGCCCTCGATGACCGCTGGAGATCGACTTCCTGATGCTCAAAACAACTTTTCAGCCTAGAAGAAGTCACTGCGGATCTGGATCTGAGGTAAACCTTTTCGGCGTTTTTGCACATAAGACCGTGGAATTGTCCGTCATTTTTCCCGCATAGCCGCGTGTTGAACGGATGTTGCTCACTCTTTTCTATTCTTTCCATTCCCATGGGTTTTCCTGTAGTGACCAGATGCTCGATTTCAAAATGACTACGTTCTCCAGTCGCAGTGTACTGTTAGCTTATATATAGGTATTTGTTTCCTATACTCCTTTTGTGTGTGGGGGGAGGCATGGGAGCTTAAGCTTAAGTGCACGCAGAAAAATTATCTTGTAAAGGGTTTGTGACCATTGACAGATTACGAACAATACTGGGGAACGGAAAAGTACTACAAGAGTTATTCAAGTGAAATACCTACTGATATTTCCCCGGCTCATTTCACATCATCGGTGAACATGTAGCAAGGACTTTGGAAATCCTTCGCACGATCGTTAAGTTGAGGGAGAAAGGGGAGAAATACGTCTATCAAGTATTCCTCCGCAACTTCGTCAAACGGACAATAACTCGAACACAGCAACACAAAAGGACAAAGGGACAACCGGATAAGTGAATAACCCTACCATATGTGAAGAACATTTCGGAAATGACCACGAGAATACTGAAACCACACAACATTCAAGTCGCCCACAAACCAACGACAACCCTGAGGAAAATCTTATCGAAAACCAAGAAGCAACAGAAAGACAAAAATCGAACAAATGTGATCTACCGCATCAACTGTAAGGAC